GATAGTAACTTTTATTGCGCCCGCCGTTAGACTTTAAAAGAGTGTGTTTCGATGTTTTTTCTTATAAGAACGACGTATCAGTGTTCCTCTATCACTGGTAAAAAATCATTTAATTTGATCAAACTATAGTGGAGAAATCAAAGGTTTTCAGAGTGTAGTGCGACTTTTGGGACACCCTTTAGTTTTGTTCAGTTTATATATATGTATATCCGTTCATCAATAGCGTCGACTTTCTTTGTGAAGAAAGAAATGAGACAGTATTTAACGAAGAAGTCATATTATCTGAAACATATATGAAAATGAACCGATGAACATTCTATAGTATAATGGCATAGACACAGAGTGGCAACAGAGCCAATGTACTGTTCTCGTTTTCAATTAAATCAATTCTCTGTTGAATTAATTTTCTTTTTAAAATTGAACATTAAAAATTGAACAATTAATAACGATTGAAAATAAGCCATCATCATCATTTCACTATATATGCATATTTATGTATCACATAGGCTTTCCAAATTCAAATTTAAGAAATCAGGAAAACAATCCGGAGACTTTTACTTGATGTCTGAGAGCTGTCTACATAGTTTTACACAAAGAAAGTTCAATCTTTTGCTTACATAAGCAATTTTCTCTTTTGTATATCAAGCTTATAGTGAAAAATTTCCTTTCATCTGAATTAAAATTAAAAAAAAACGTGATAATCCGATCAGAGACCGTCACAGGGCACTTTTTTCTGCCCTGCCCTGCCCTGCCCTGTGGCCTGTCCTGGCTGCCCTGCAGGGCAAGCAGGACAGGGGTAAAAAAAAATTTTTGCCCTGCCCTGTGACGGTCTCTGAATCCGATATATTTTATATTAAACCCCTTCTTTAACAGAAGACTTTTTCACATTAGAAGACTAATGGAGGACTTGATATGAAGGACGTCATAGAAGACTTACTTAGTTTTAAGTAACAGTTAAAAATTGTTACATCAGTTGTCAATACTTTTCAGTTAAACTAGTCTATTTTTAGGAGATTTTTTATCAAACAAAAGCTTGAAATCCTGAAAAAACTCTGAATAGCCCAGAACAAGTCTGGAAAATCAGGGAGCTTTGTCAAAATATCTTGCATTGAAACCTATAGAAAATGTGTATCATAATAGAAAGATGCCTTAAGGGAGTGTACGCTACAGCATATTAGAAGATCTCAAGTTTTTTAAGCGGAGAGGTTTAATAGTTATTTCACAATCATTTATTAAAATGCACAATATTGAAAAATGAAATTAACTCCTTAATGAATATGAATCAAGATATCAAGCAACAAGTATGATAAGAGCTTTTTTACTGAGCAATTCGTCGTACTTTTAAAAAATGACTTAGTTATTTGATCAACATAATTGTTTCAATGGATAAGGTTTACGTAGGAAATAATCATAAAACTATGTGCTAGTATGATATGTTTCCATTTTAAATTTCAGTTCAGCTTATAGAAAATCATGTTTCATTGTATGTCTGTGGTTGCTCGAATATACCTCACGTCGCTAAAAGCTGTTTCACGTAATTCACTTGAAGCAGAAATGAGAAAAGCGCACTTTAACTACAGTAGCTTTTGTAAGTTAGGTGTACGTACAATGTCTAGCAAGTCTATATGAGATCATATCTAATTCACTGGTTTCTGCTTTAGTCAACTAGAAACAAAACTATAAATCAGGAGAAATTAGGGAAAAATCATAAAAATCAGCTCCTGAAATCAGGAGATTTCTTATCAGAAGAAAAGATAAAAAATCAGGAGTTCCCTGCTCAAATCAGAAGATTTGGCAACCCTGGTATCACATGAACATAGGAAAAACAATGATCCAATCTAAAATAAGAATGTAAAAAATATTTGATGATGAGGACCTCCTACAATCTAAAAAAATAGGTGTATTATTATCGAACCCTAAAAACGGCAAAAAATGTTCCAACGGAGCTACAAAAGCTAAAAAGGTTCTTATCCTGGGCACAAACTCGAAACCCTTTGATAGTATCGACTACAATATAAACGTAAGCTTTTTCCTTCGACAATAGCTACGTACGCCAATNTAAAGCATAAATCACTGGGACTATCAAGTCCAATGATAAAACCATAATATTTTTAAAATCAAGACATAAAGAGTTTTGTGCTCCCACTTTCTATTACTTTTTCAAGGTTTTCAGTGCTATTGCTCAAGAGAGAGGCATTTTGAACTACCCATTGGTAATGCCGTCTTTTTCTTTGATATTGTCTGTATGATAAGACCGAGAACGAAATGAGAAAAGTTGTTATTGTTATTTTCAACATGAAATTTCATTTTATCGTTTATTGTAATGATCAAAATATAAAACATGCAAGAGAATTTTTTGATTTTCTTTTTTTTCATTGATCATATTTCTTGAAATCAAATGGCAAGAATCACTATTATGAATGCGAATTATCCTTTTACACTTTGTCGAATTCAATGTAGTAACGATTATTTTCATCCATAAGACAAATTTTTCTTTCTGATTTTTGAAAGTACGCCGAATATAGTCCTTTTCGACATGGTCGATTCATAATGACTTATTTTTTTATCATGCACATGATGACAATATCACACGAACCTTTGATTGATGGGTTAGCATAAAAGATGAGTGCTAACAAAGAGGGTGTGGGTGTGGCTGTGGGTATTAGAGTAGAGAAGAAAATCCATTCACACCCTTTTCAAATAGTCTATTGTCAATAGGAACAATCTTTTTCTATACTTTATTATATTTTATTTGCTTTCAGTTATCTTCACCAGGCTTACCAAATTCAAATTTAAGAAATCAGGAGGTTTTTGTCAAAAATCAACAGTTTATCAGGAGATTTTTCTTTCTAAATCAGGAAAAACCAGAAGACTTTTACTTGATGTCTGAGAGCTGTCTATATAGTTTTACACAAAGAAAATTCAACTTTTTGCTTACATAAGCAATTTTCTCTTTTGTATATCAAGCTTATGGTGAAAAATTTCCTTTCATCTGAATTTAAATAAAAAAAAGGTGATAATCCGATATATTTTATATTAAACCCATTCTTTAACAGAAGACTTTTCCATATTAGAAGACTCATAGAAGATTTGATATGCAGGACGGCATAGAAGATGTACTTAATTTTAAGTAACAGTTTAAAATTGTTACATCAATTGTTAATGCTTTTCAGTTAAAACAGTCTATTTTTCGGAGATTTTTTATCAAACAAAAGCTTAAAATCCTGGAAAAACTTGGAATAGTCCCGGAAAAGCCTGAAAAATCAGGGAGCTTTGTCAAATATATCTTGTATTGAAACCTATGGAAAATGTGTATCATAATAGAAAGATGCCTAATGTGAGTGTGTAAGCTACAGCATATTAGAAGATCTCAAGTTTTTTAAGCGGAGAGGTTTAATAGTTATTTCAAAATCATTTATTAAAGTGCAGAACGTTGAAGAATAAAATAAACTCATTAACGAATATGAATGAAGATATCAAGTAACAAGTATGATAAGAGATTTTTTACTGAGCAATTCATCGTACTTTTAAAAAATGACGTAGCTATTTGATGAACATAATTGTTTCAATACATAAGGTTTACTTAGGAAATAATCATACAACTATGTGCTAGTGTGATATGTTTCCATTTTAAATTTCAGTTCAGCTTATAGAAAATCATGTTTCAGTGTATGTCTGTAGTTGCTCGATAATATCTCACATCGCTAAAAGCTGTTTCACGAAATTCACTTGAAGCAGAAATGAGAAAAGCGCACTTAAACTATAGTAGCTTTTGTAAGTTAGGTGTACGTACAATGTCTAGTAAGTCTATAGGAGATCATATCCAATTCACTGGTTTCTGTTTTAGTCAACTAGAAACAAAACTAAAAAGCAGGAGAAAATCGTAAAAATCAGCTCCTGAAATCAGGAGATTTGGCAACCCTGATCTTCACCGAAGAAAATATTGAAAAATCAACGAAGTCTAAAAGGATTTAAACAAAATTCTGATGCATAAAATTTTAGCGTCAAATCTAATTATAAAATTTATTTTTTTCTATTTGTGTCTCGTGGTATATTGCATACTTTAGCGAGTTTGTTTTTTCTTTTGAAAGTTAATTGATATTTTCTTATATAGTGCAATTCATTTTCTAAAAAGAAACAAATTCAAAACTGAAATTTATTAAACTTTTCTTCAAATCAAAAAAAGAAACATCAAGTTAAAACAACAGTAAGTCAGTTCATAGAATGTAACAAACCAATTTTACTCATGTTTAACGAAGTTCTAAAGTACACTCGTACAACATTAAATCATCGGTAATTTTGTTTATTTTCTTGACCGTTAATAAACTAAAACAATTTAATAAGACTTCGTCTTCATTTGCAAATTGTGATACATCAGATATACTTCTTGGTTTATTTGATTTTGTACAATCGACAGAGATGCTTAACAGAACACCTTTCTCACCAGCAAAATTCATTGCTACTTCTCTAGTTAATGTTGTGGATAAAAACGCTGGAAAGACTATTGTGTCATTAACATTGAATTTCCTTAAAAATTCTTGAAAACTATTCTCTCTTGCTAAATCTATACCTCTGTATAATTTGATATCCTTGCTACAGAGCATTTTATTAGATTTATCTGAATAGATCAATAAAGAATATCTCAATGCTTTAATATAATCTTGAATTAATACAATTAGCTGTTCATCCAACCGATTAAGAATATCATTTATTATTTTGTAGTATGAAGGTATTGAAGTTGTATATAGACGAATGATATTCTTTTCTGGTTGGTTATCTTTTAAAACTTCAACAAATTTTTCGGCACATTGCATTAAATTCTGAAGTTGAAAATGATATGGAATATCATTTGGATAAACTTTTTTCGATACTAATAAATTATGTAACTCATTCATGATTTCTTTATGATGATCGATACTTAAATTAATATCGGAAAATTGTTGAATTATAAAACCATCTTGTTCTGTTGAGAGATAATAATCAAAATTTGATAATTTTAATGTTATATCTTCATAAGAAAAGCCAAAATTTAAAAAATAAATTTCATCACGCTCAATATCATTGATCTTTTGAATAACTTGAGAAAATTGATTAGTAACAAGTAAGACTTTTTTATACTGTTTTGCCCATGTTCGATGATATTCAATTGCCGAACAAAAGATAATTATACCCTTAATATGAAAATAATATCCAACGTTAGAAACAATTTCGTGTCCAGCTGATCCTGATGCAATTAAGATTAAATTATTTTGTATATTCGATTTAGTAAACTTAATAGATTGTTCGTTAGTATCACATTGTACAATTTGATATTGTTCTTTTGAAAGACTGTTTTTCAATTTTTCAAAATAACGTTGATTTTCATCGTCTCGAATTTTTTTATCACACCAAATAATATTGATTGTTGATGTTTGTCTATGAGTTGAATAATTATGTATTTTGCTTTCAAAATGATCAAAATATTCACTAAGATTTTGTATTTGCTCAAATTTCTTAGTTTCAACATTTTTAATAGCGTTTCTTAATTTTTCAACTAATTTGGCTAGACTTTTTCGAAATGATATTTCACTGATACCGGTACAGACCACAACTCCTATTCCTGCTGAAGCAACATCCGCTATGGCCATGCTACTGGACAATGTTATGATTCCACCTATTATAACAAGTAAACTAATGGTCGAAAAAATCGTTTCTAATAAAACTAATGAAAATTTTGCAACTAGACGATTGATGTGATGGATTAGTTCTTCTAGATGATTTCTTATTTCATTTCTATTGACATTTGATTCAAGTTGACTGAGTGCATCTGAGAGTATTTGTTTTGCACGTTCCTTTTGTACGGTTATCTCATATACGATACTGTTTATTTTTTAATCGTATCTTTGCTGAATTTCGGTTATTTTTGATCTAAGTTCAAGAATTTGAACTATATTTAAATGGTACCATGCATGTGTTTCTTGTAATTTGTTAACTTCATAAAGTGTCTTATGCAAACCTTCTATTGATTTATTAAACAGATCATTCAATAAATTTTCAAATACTGTTTGCTGTTGTTTAGCTAATGTCAATAGTGTAGCGTTAGTCTAGAAAGAAAGTAAAAGAAAAATAATTAATTTTTTAGGAATAACGTGAAGAGCAAATAGCATAGTTCCGAATCATATGGTTTGCGCATCTTTTCATTTTATGTGATTGTAGGTATCGACTATTGATAAAACACAATGTCTGATGAAAAAAATTGATGTAATAAGTGTTAAGCATAGATAGACCTCTAATGTTGAATTCTGTTGTGACGTTTTCGATGGTAACATTGAAATAACTCGTTTCTTTTTTGTGTTAAAAATATTTTAAAATAAGTCAAAACGAAAAAGATTAACGAGAAAATTCTTTGAAACTACTGTAGGCATTAACTTTATTATAGTTTTCTGTTTTTTTGATATAAAACACCTAAAATAATTTCTGCATCTCACTTACAGCCATGTATTAATAAATTTCTTATATAATTTTGAAGACGTCTGGAAAGATAACGTATAATTTGCCAACGTTTAAGTTCAGAAATTCGATGCGAACTCAGCACAGAAATATCTCTAAATTTTCAATTGTCGATAATATCTAGAATGAAAAATATAAACGTTCAAAGCAATAGGTTTTTAAATTTTAAGAATTAGTATTTTCATATTATATTTCATATGATACTGAATTTTTAAATCTATTGACTTTCGATCAACAAACAGATAATAAAAGATAGGCTTTGATTGGTAATCGAATCTGATGAGAAATAACTGATTGAGAATCAGTGGTCTTACCATTGAGTTATCAGTAGTGTCAAACCTGAAAGTTGAATTCAATTATTGAAAATCTACTTCAACTATTCGAAATAGGAATAATTGAATTCAATTGTCAGGTTTGACATGTATGGTAATTTCGGGAAAATTACTAAAATACCTTCATAATTACCGCAATTTCCAAAAATTCTACTTGTTTTCTTTGAACAGTATTAGAAAAAAAACCATAACGTATTCGTTTTTTAATCAATCGTCAACGAACCAAAAACAAAAAAACTAATGAATAAAAAAAAGGAAAAAAGCAGCAAAGAATATTAAGTATAAAGCAAGCATTGATAAGATAGGAATGTAAAGGCATCTATTGTATGTGTGTAATAGGCGAGCTTCCTGATTCTGATAGATCTAGATGGTTTCTTTGCACGAAAAAAAGTATGGAGGTTACTGTATTTCTTGAATTTATTGGGTTGCTAAGGTAGATAGAACTTTCAGTAATGTCTAGATGTGTTGAAATTGACTCTTCTTCTGAGCGGTAGTTACTGAAATTGGTTTATTAATGATGGAAATTTCCTTTTTTGAAAGTCTGAACTCTACTGGGAAAATCTACAGAACTCTTGAAGTTTCGTTTTATGTTCTACATAGGATCAGTTAAAAAGTAAGCAAGTTAATTATCTATGATAAAGAAGTCATAGATGGAATAAGTTTAATTAGAATAGTAAACAAACATGAGATGGAGACATAAAAATGAATGACGGAGACTATTACTTAACGAATACTTATGAATTGATTGTTAAAAAAAATGGATCATTTGGATCGATATTACATGTTCCTTAAGTGTGTGTAACTTGAAGATCCTTTTGTCAACATGTGTATGTTATTCGATTAATTTGCATTGAGCCTTATTCTGATAAGTTACTTACTGCAAAAAAGAATGAGTTGAAGCTAATATACGAAGAAAATCTTATGTTAAAGACTTCTTAAATAAGTTTATTGTTGTAAATGCAACATTGTTTGTTTGTTATATTCGATGACTCTTCATTTTATACCTTTGTAGCAAAGCCCATTTACTTGGATATTGCCGATCGTCATTCGTACTGTGTTTTTTCTCTTTTCTCTTATTTTTTTATAGAGTCGAACACAAAAGGATTGAAGTAAGACGCACATGTGTTGCACGAACGATGCGATTGAGTGATTTTTTATACTGCAAATTATACGTATGATGAAACACTATTAAAAAAATCTCTGTTATAACTCTTATCGTTTCTTAAAAAACGAAAATTTACTAAAAAGTATTGTGTGACAGATGATTTAAAATTTAGTAGAGGATCTATAGAGAAAAGAAACGATCACAGAAAACAGTTAGACGTGCACAAAATCTATGATTTCAACGTCGTTCTCACGGTTTATCACCATTTTCACACTCCACAAACGAACTATTATCTGTTCCAGAAGTCAAGACACTTGGTTGTTTTTTGAATAACTTTTGATAGGAACAAGATAGAGCCTGCTGTTTTCACCGTTTGACAGCCTAGACCCAAGAGCATATTTTCATAAACAAAATTTTTTCTGAGAAAAAATCCCAAAGCGGTTTCTCAGAGGGTCTTTGTAGAATCACGTCGGATTTCTGAAAACTGTCATAGAAGTCTATTGATTTTTTACATATTCGGAATCAGCATCGAAAACTGCGTTGATTCATATATCGGCAAAAAATCGTAACGCGTCACCTCTAATACCGGAAAATTAAAAAAACGAGTTCTAATA